TTTTTTTTAAGAAAAATAAAAGTTGTGTTCATAAAGAAAAATGCTAATGGGTTTATTTTGTTTTCAAAAAGTGTAAACAAAAGAAACAGTACAGTTACCAATCCATTATCCAACAAGCGAAGCCCACTTGGTGTGTCTCGAGCAGCGAGGATAGACACACAAAAAATATAAATTGCTAGTGACAGTGACTTTAATCGATAATAATTTTCTTTTTTTTTTGACACAAATCAATAAATATAATTCAAATTCTCATTGCAATTCAATCCTCATATAAGATTTTCTCCTGATTCAAGAGAATATATCTGGAATATATCCTATAAATATCATGATAGGTCTTTAAATCGAGGGTAAATACTCTCATAATTAAGGTAGGCTACAAATCTCTACTATTTGCTATGCTTAATTACTCTAATATTTATACTCGACTACTCCTCATCATAGTCTGTGTGGCACACCAGTTTTTAGTGCTCTTCTGTTTTATAGATCTCATTAATCCTTTTTATTCAAAAATATTAATGCGAATTTGCGGGATCCTACACCAGATTTCTGCATCAACAATACTGAAATGAAAAAAATAATAATCAATTTTTACTTTGAATTAACAAAATTAATCGATTTTCACTTAAAACTTTAAACTATAAATTTAGATAAGTTTGGAAGTTTTTACCTTCTGTTCTTTTACAAATTCAACTGCTGGTTTTAATGAAAAGTAAGGTAAAAATATCTAAAGAACTCACAATTTTAACTAAAATTAAATTGGCACAAAATTAAGCCTTGTACAAATTGATGGCTAAATACAAATAACTTCTACAAAACACACAAATTAAAAATAATAATGATAAAAAAACTTTAATGTTGTTTTTTTAAGTCTGTCACATTAGAGATAAATATAATTATCAAAATCAAACTCAAATGTTATAATTCATCAAACAACTGCTATTTAATATTACATTTGAAAGTTTAGGTGTAATGGTAATAACTACCATATTTTAAGAGTAGTTTGTGCTAAAATCTATAATTCATTAAACACACATTTGCTGATACTATTTTTGATGAATTTTCAAGTGAAGACATAAAAAAAATTAAAAGTTGCAATACTTATTGAAGTTTTAAATGTAATTTAGTAAAATTAGAAGTTTATGGTGTAGATTGATATATCTTACAAATTAGAAGCAACATTCTTCAATCAAAACGTTTCGAATCTTCACCCATGTATTATTGTACTAAAAAAAATTTATATACCATCTCTACCATTAAATGAGAAAAATACAAAAAAAAAACATATATTTTTTAGATAAATAGCTGTGAATTTTTAAATTATGGTAAACATGGACATATCTCTCCGCTCTCACGAGTGATTTGGACTTAAAAGTACTTCCTCAAATTTATGCTTTATAGTATAATTCATTTATTCCGTATTTAAATTGAGTTTGTTTGACTTCACATTAAAGTAAAATAGCTTTTTAGTAACTTCTTTTTTTTTTAGTTTTTCGTAAACCCTTTTAGACATTACATGATTATTTTCAAAGGAATCTTCAATATACTTTTATTTTTTAATCATATAACTTGACCAAAACATTATCATAAATTTAAAATGTATTTTTAATTGATTACTTCATTATTTTGAGAATCATATCACATTCTTAAAAAGAAAGCATCGTCGTGTCAGACATATTCTTCGTAAATGAAAGAAAAAGATTAATACTTTTAATGAAATAAAAGTAAAGTTTAGGCCACCATAAGACTATTATAACTTTTCAAATATATAAAATATATAGTTTGAGGTAGTTACATAAATAACATAAAATAAATATATATTGTTTTAATATAGCATAAAGTTTTAAATTTTATAAAAATAGCATGATTTAAAAGTGTGTAAGTATACTAAGAAAAGTTGTTGTTCCTCTCCCTAAAAGAAAAATATATATTAAGAAAAGTCAAACTTATGCTATATATATATATATATATCTGTGTGTGTGTGTGGTACAAATAAACTCTACGGTTAAGGGCTTTATTTCCTATTCTAAAAAGAATAATAATATAAATAGGATATTTTACCTTCTTCTGTACCAAGTTTAATCCCATGTACCTTAACACAAATAAAAATAAATATTGTGACTTAACATATTAATTTTATATCTCAAAATTCCAACAAATTGAAAGTACGAAGATTTAAACTTATGATCTCAAAGAAAGGTAGGTCAAATAAACTCGAAAACCGATCCGATCGACCTAAACCAACTCATGTATATTGAGCATCAGCAGGTAATTACGTAAGTGACATAATAATAATCGCAACAACTAAATTGATTACTTATTTTAAGTTGAGTATTGAGACAAATATTTCGAAAGTTCAATAGAATCAACCGAAACTCATTCATCTTTTAAGAATCATTTCAAATTCAATATTTAAAAGTAAAAAAAAAAACAAATCAATATTTTATTATTTCAAAAGTTTTATTTTATTTTCACACACACATAGTAGAGCCTTAAAAGAAATGGGACACACGCACATATAAACTTGTCGAACCCCAAATTACCATTATTTATTTTATTTAAGTCTTATAACCAACGAAGCTTCCTTCCAAATTCCAAATTCCAAATTCCAAATCTCCAAATCTCTTTCTTTTTCTCTCTGTCTCTACGCTTCTTCTTCTTCTTCATTCTCCATTCTTCATGAGGAAACGAAGATGCAGAGAATCGAAAACAGAGATCCGATAAAATCCCACCCCCGATCCCTAATTTCACCGTCCCCCAAAAATTCTTTCTCCTCCTCCT